CAAATCATTGGCCTTTATAATTACCATGACTACACATACCGAATCAAGCATGGTTCAACACTTGATTCCATAAAATGGCCAATGCACCTGTGTAGCCGTCAAGTCAATGGCACTGATTGACTTTGGAAAGGGACCTTGACGACCCTTCCAATTCACCACTGGTAAGATGTTTCGTCCTTTCACCATCGTCTACACCATGGGACCTTTTATCACCTCCTCGGTAAATGAAATCTCACTTTGGTAGCTACCATCTCCTATGCACTGTTCCCATCCCTTCGAGGCCTCACATTCTAGACAATATAAGCCATTATACAAATTCTTCCCCATCAGAACCATGTCACCTTGTGTGACTTTTACCACTCCATCACAAGTAAAATATCCACACCTTTTGGAGTCTAACAAGTTCAATGATATTAGATTCTTACGCATCTTTGGGACATAGGCCATATCACCCAAAGAGCGCACAACCCCATCAAACATTTTGATTTTTACTACTCCGAAACCCATGACTTTCACTATTGACTTATTACCTAAATTCAAATTCCCAGCCACCTCTTCTTGAAGTAAATCAAAACAATCCTTTTGATAACATATGTGAGTGGCAGAAGCAAAATCTAAATATCAATCAGAATTTGCATCCATATTTTTTGAGATTATAAGGACATAACAATCATCACCTTCAGCAACGAAAGCACACTCACCTTTGTTCTCATTACTTTCATCCATTTTTGTAGGTCAGTCCCTTTTAATATGTCCATACCCTTTGCATCGAAAGCACTGAACATTGTTGGATTTAGACTTGCCACCCTTAGATCCCTTATCGGTTGACTTCCTCTTATGAACCTCAGTTACTGATACCAAGCCACTTGGATCTTTATCCTTTTCTTTACTTTTCTTTCAGGCTTCATGAGACATTAATATTGCTTGTGCTTGTTCTAACTTTATTGTATCCATCCCACATATCAAAGACTTCACAAATACCTCATAAGAGTCTGGAGGTGAAGCTAGGAATAATAGTGCCTTTTCCTCTTCCTCCACCTTCACATCAACCTTCTTCAATTGATCAATGATCCCGTCGAATTCATTCATATGCTTCATGAGGTCTCCATTCTCTTTCGTCTTTAAGCGATACAACTTTCGCCTAAGTTGCAGCTTGTTGGAAAGATTTTTCGCCAAATAAATCTTCTCTAACTTTTCCCATAACCTTGGAGCAAAATCCTCATTAATAATATGATTAAACATGTTATCTCCAATGCAAAGCCGAATAGTGCTCACACACCTTTGCTCCAACTGCCCATTCAGCATATTTCATGTCATCTGGTTGCCTTTCTTCCTTTCCTAGCAAGGGGCACATTAAACCTTGCTACACAAGAAGATCTTTCATCTTTCTCTGCCATTACGTGAAACTAGTCTTTTCATCAAACTTCTCAATTGAAAAATTCATAGAATTAGTAACTTTCGACAACCTTGTTGAATCTTGAATTTATCGAACCCGAAGCTCTGATACTAGCTTGTTATGGAAATTGCCCAAAAAATAATAAAGATAAAACCCAGAGAAATCAAGCAAATAAAAAAACATAAGAATTTATGTGGTTCGGCCTCTTGCCTACGTCCACAGAGTGAAACTCTTCTTATATTATTGAGAAATTAAAGTACAATAAATTGATCTCTATGGCTCCACAAACCAACCCAAGATCCCTTGCACACTCTTTCTCAATAACCTCCCAAGAACACTCACTCAAACCACTCTAACTCCACTTAGAGCAAAAGACAGAGTTACAAAGTGTCCCTTCTCTATAGCTCTCAAAGCACCACTTGCAATTCTAAAGCCTAGAGATCCACTTTTATAACATAAAAGTCCAAAATAGAATGTGATTAGGACTTTATGTAGAATAAGAAATTTAAAACCATATAATTACTTAATGTTGTACATAAATAAAAAATCCTAATCAAATAAGATCTAGAATTCTAGTCAACTTAAAACTCAATAGCAAGAGCAAAAGAATATCAGCATTCTGAGTTGATGTATAATTTGTTTTTGGTTTATCCTAAATACTATCGTTAATGGTGGATGAAGTCAAATTGATAGTTGAATCCATGCCAAAACATGAAATAGAAAACAAGCAAGCCAATTACTGTTCCTCGGAGTGTGACTATCATACCTAATTATTGCTTTCTCATTTACAGAGTTTAAAGTAGTACACAAGTGGAGACGGGCATCGGGCTTCCTTGTGTTTTAGCAAATTTAAGCATTTATGATATTTCAATCTGCTGGATTAGGTCCAAAAAGTTAGCTATTCAAACTAAATTTGAGGCTTCTTGTTTTGTCATTCTTCTTTCTAATAAATGATAAAGCTTTCAGCTTTACTCTTTATGCTTTGATTTTCTTATCTCTCAAGCTGAACCTGGGAAACTCAGGCATGGGCCATAGTGGAAAGGTGATGTTTCAATGCACTTGCCGTGGGAGGCTTTGCCAATTTAAATTGCTGCCGCTCCATTGTCTTTCCTCATTTTTGTCAATTCACGATAAGAAAGTTGCAACCTAGTAATCTTGTTAGGCCAGAACTGATTCTGATTTAATATCATTTTGTGATTGCTCTGAGTTTTATTTATGTGAGGATTTCCAGGATAAGCATGGGCAATTACAACAGAGTAGCTCTAGTTGATGGTGTTAATGTTGACAAGCATGATTGCATGAAGTTCTTGCTGTAAACCATTGATTAAATTTCTACCGTTGAGTGTGAAATAAGAGAAGTGGGGAACCCGGAGGTTGGATCATTTGGTTTTAGTCCAAGGCCTACATGCCTTATATAACCCTTTTGGGGGCAACCTAAACAGCGTTTCTATTAGAGTCCTTGAGTGCAATTAGAGATAAACTTCCAAGAGTTTTATTGATAAATTTAGGACTAATTTTTCTCTGAAACTAAGTAAATTTGTTTTGAGTTGGCCAGGAAGGATGAATATAGCTCCGCATCTATTAGTACAATAAAAATGGAAGAATACTGGAGAAAACTTTTAAAAGAACTAATATTGCAGCAACAAATTTAAATTACGAGTGGTAGCAGAATATGTAAACTGCAGCTACTGGTAAAACTATGAGTTCCTGTGACCTATCTTCACTTATTAAGACCTCTCTTTCAGAGCCTTCGAAATGGCTCCAACTGTGGCTGGTGTTGTCCGACAACAACCCCCAATTAGTTTAGCTCCTAAGTCACGCCATCTTGCTGCGAACAACTCAAATTTGTCGTCACCAAAGCACTTTGATGGCTGTTAATCAAAGAAGAAATTCCATGTCAGTGGATGCAACATCTTTTTGCACAACAAACAGGAGAGTTTATGCAATAAATAACTTACCAGCCATTTCTTAGCCTGACCATCCCATATCTCTCCGCTATTTGGATAAACGACAATTGCCTTCGATGTCATCTGGAACAACGAGAAGTTACACTTAGAATCATTTGATTATTACTTTATCCTAGTAAAGGAACTGATTTTTATCTGAAACAAAGAGCCTTTGATGCTCTTAAAATATGTTTGATTATCTGCCCATTGCTTGAAGTAATTCACCTCCTTAAATTTGCATACAAGGCTTTCAATAAAATGGGGAGGTGCACAATTTATTCCCACTGCATTTACTTTCATGCTCTTGTTCAATATATCCAAGCACTCCTTAAAACTCTCTCCTGACGGGGCATTCTCACCATCTACAGAACTGAAGCAGATCCATGATGGAATTTGAATGTTTTCTTCCTCAAGCAACTCAACACATGCCTGTAAGTGGAGATAGAAAGATGGCATCATGCTCTGAAGGGACAAATCGAGTCAAGAGGAAAAGGGATATAAAGCATATTGTTAAGAGGATCAAAACACTAAGGAAAATTTCACCCTGCAGCAGCTTGGAAAGAGGCAAGTAAAACTAGATTTTTAACTCTGAATGAGTACTTCTATATTGATCATGAGTCAATTCATTAGAGCTAATATGTAGATGGCTACCAATAGCATTTTCGTTGCATTTTTAATGATTGTGGTGAATCATTGCACTAAGAAAGAAAATTTTCAAACAAAATATGTGCAACATTGAGTCATAAAGAGTGATTGACGATTAAACTTTGAAGTCACTGTGCATTAAACTGTCAAATTCATTGCTGGTTGGTTTTGATTTTGGCAGATGTTGCAGAATACACCAAATACACTGGAAACTTGAAAAGAAATTGAAGAATGCAAGTAACTTCACACCTGTAAAACATAGTAATCTTAAAACAAGAAGTACATTTGCCTATTTCCTAATACTGCAAACAAAATGAATCACAGAACCTGAAATGCTGCTATTTTCATTTTCGTTGAATAAGGAAGAATTGAAGACAATAAAGAAAAAAAAAGAAATACTTCCCCTCCATAAAACCACAGGTTCTAGTTCTCCTGCCAACTTGTATGACCATAATAATCATTTGCAATTCATGAAAATGATAGTCTATTATTAGAATAGATTTGATCCAGTGCCAGCCTCGCCAAGTGTGACATGCACTTTAGATGAAGCACAGATTGTAACCAATGTATTGTCATTAAACAAGTCGCCATTCCTTCTACATTCTCCTTCAATATATATGATAAATAAGAAATGAAGTTTGTGGAAGAACAAACCTGAGCTTCAAGTTTATTGGGAATGGTCTCAAAGGCTAGCAAATCTGGACCTGCTTTGACAAGAACTTGCAATCTTTGCCGGTGAAAATCTTTCAGCTTATCCAGATTCACTTCTGGTCCATAGCATCCACTGAAGGAAAAGACGGAGCATATGCAGATAATGTGATCATGTTAAGCTTATGAAAGATGTCTGATATCTAAAAGATTTTTAAAATTAAGTTATTCAGAATTTGGAACCTGTATTCTGAACCATCAGCCAGATAAGCTCCATAACTTCCAATTGAGGCTGCAACCAAAGCTCGGTTGTAGCTATTCCCAGGAACACTCCCTACAGCATCCCAGAACTTGTCGCGGGCTTCCACAGCCAATTTGACACTCTTTTCTAGCAATGACTCTGCTTCTTCAAGGGACAGTCCCCAGGACAGGAATCCGGGAATGGTGGCCTGTAAACATAAATTAGAGACAAATACAAGAATAGAGCACTAGGAGGACACTCTGAAATTCAAAGCAAGATAAACTCCAGCTCTTCTTTTTGGTAGCAAACACTACTAATCAGCTTCTGCAAGATTAATTACCATCATGCAAATTAGAATTGTTTTCAGCAGTCTCCATTCTCAATTTAAGAAGAAAAAGTATTCAAATATCGAAAGGCTGAAAAATAATAATAATTAAAAAGGGGTTTTTATCATTTACAATCATCTCATATAAATTATTCTTCCTAACGTGAAGGTAGGAAAGTTTGTACAAAGATATGTTGCCTGCGTCCTCGGAATCAGTCATTGCAGGAGAACTTAAAACAGATTATATCTGCAGAATATATAGTTCACTTTCAAAATGAGGCATCAGAGAAAGATGATGACTCATTGCATTCGAAAAGGAAACATACAGTTAGGATATCTCCGAATAATCAATTTTAAAATGAATGCCTTAACAAAGCTGTGCATATAACCCACTTATGGCTGCCCAAAAATCCCTCAAGTCCACTTTTGATACTAGGACCTTTTTTTTTTTGCTGGAAGATACAAGGACCTTGTTATCTTTTAAAATTAAAGGCAATTTATTGTACCAGATAAATACTAGGAATACAGGAAAGGAAGTTCACTCAAATCAATTCTTTTTGCTCAATCTGAAATACTATTAACAAACCTGGTATGATGAAGTAACCAAGACATCTGCACCAGCCTCAAGGTACTCCAGATGAACCTGCACATTTGAAACAAATCCGCATTGATCAAAATCGAAAACCAGGTTTTAAATATTATGCTCTGTTTTATAACATAGTTTCAGAAAACCCAAATAATCATAAGCTTTGTTTTTATTTTTTATTCTTTTTTTGTTTTTTCACATGGACATTTGCAAAACACCATAGCACATTCTTCTCTCGAAGCTCAGAGAGAAAGGTAAGCAAAAGACAGAAAGGTACCTGTTTGATTAGATCAGGGTCTTTAATCAAGCAAAGAGCGCTCCAAAGTGGGTTATTGATGGAAGCACCATGAGCCTCAAGCTGAGTAGCAAAACCTCCATCGATCACAGCACAACCTCCAGCTTTGTCTATCAAATCTTCCAACAATGACGTTCCCTTTCCAAAACCCATCTTTTCTTTTTGTCTCTGTATGCTTCTCCTGCAGAGTTCTCTGTCCTTGGAGATGTTGCAGGAGAAAGACAAAAAGCCTTATTGGCGCCGATGACAAAAGGGTTGGCTTGTTCGGTTGCTTGGTTTATAAATATATGTTTCCCAACGCGGAGGAACTAGGTTTAGGACAAATTTTTTTCGTATTTGATGAAAACGTTTAGGAGTTTTGGTTCTCTAAGAACAGGCAAAGAGGTTGGCCAGTTCGGTCTTTAGAGGTTAGGACCTCTTCTTTTTCATTTTCCTTTGGTATTTATAGCATTGGTTGATCTTGGACTTCACCTACGGTACTTGTTACAATACCTACCCACCGCCAATGAAGCTTCATTATCAATATAAGATTTTTGCCGTTTCCCACGCTATCTGGTTCAACATTCCATCCAGATACATTAAACAAAAACGTTTTTCTCTTTTGAAAATTGCAAACGATAAAAATTCAATTCTCTTTTGTTTTTATTATTTATTCTTAAATATATAAATGCAAATGTTTCTAATATCTTGAGTTTGAAGTATTTATTACTATTTATAATAAAAATTATTCAAAATGATAATTTTGAAATAAAATGAAAAGATTTATCCGTTTTCGTCAAAAAAAAAAATATCAATATCCCTACTTTATATATATAT